CACAGTAAGGAAGCAAAGAAAAAAAAAGCTGCCAACGAACTAATATTGTTGATGAGTCATTTCAAGAAAACTGCATTCTTCATAGATCTTTTATGGGACGGAGAAAAAAGTTTAAGAAGAAAAAGAGGGACGAAAAAATGGAGACTAATCTATTATTCAGTTTATCGTGCAAAAATAAGAATTTGTCACAAGCTAGCTAGACCGACTACCTGACCGGCTAAATAATTGAATAGCTGATTTTGTTTCTTTTCCTTTTTTAGATATACCAATTTATTAGAGAAAATGATGACAAGAAAAGAACGTATAAAAATTCTTAAAATTTTTGAAAGGAAGCATTTCACAAGGGTCACTTTTAGGCAGCAAATCTTTCTGCTAAATATACAAAACGTCAATTGTATTCTTTTTTTTTCTTAAGATGATTTTCTGATCAAATTAGCTGTCATAATTGTCAACAGTTAATTGGGTTATGTCAGGCCATCGATGATGCTAGTCGTATAAATAGCCATGTAATTGAAAATGGGTTTGCACCAATTATAGATCATAGTAGTTCTAAAAATATTTTAAAGATTTACTACCTAAAAGGAGAAAAAAGACTGAAGGATAGGAAAGATGGAGAACAACGCTGAAGGGATGAAGGCAACTACAGCAATCTTTTATGTGATTTGGATACTGTAGAATACAAAGTAATTTTAGACGTTAAAAAAGAGAGAACGAAGATACAATTGTCCAGTTGCTCTGAGATATTTATGAAACTCTTAGGTGAACAATTCAGATTAGTAGAAAGTTGGCGATCTGTCCTTATTCAAACGAACAAAAACCAATATATCAACTGTTTTCTTCTTTTTTTGATTGGTTAGCAAAATATTACATCACATATCACAAATCCTCGAATAGTTGGCAGTGGATGAGATTGTTACGAAGAAAGGTGTACGAACGGTTAGTTAACGCAAACAACAGTTGACGAAAAATCTAGAGGACAATGCAGCACATGATCTGTCATTATTCATTAATCTCGCTTATTTGCAGAAGGATTATATTTCTGAAGAAGAAGGAAAGATTGTTGTTTATATGACTAGCTGCGGAGTGGTGCATTCTACCTGGGAACGCTGTCATGCTGCTGTTGTGCTGTTGCAGAATCTGAATATAAAAGTTGAACTACGCGATTTGAATCTTGACACCAATCTAGTTGATGAACTCATTGATCGTCTACAATTGGGAGAGGTTTGCTTTTTCTCCTCAAAGGAACTTGGAAACGTCAGTCAGCAGCACTTCCTTCTTAAACTTAAATACGCTTAATAAGGCACAAGCATTTTATGCTGAACTGTAACGTTTACTTTTGATTTGTATCACACTTAAGTCCTTCTGAGAAGAAAAACCGAAGTAATATCAAAGTAATGTAATTACAACTTAGATGATAGAGTGAGGTTTGCCGCTTTGCCGCGGTTTTGCCGCACTAATTTGTTCACCTTCCAACTAGTTTTGCTCGCATAAATATCATATGATAGAGTTATATTAAGCCACTAAAATTATTAACAATATACATTTATTGTTCAACAGTTTCTTCAGTGAAGGAAAGAAAAATTTCTCTTCTAAACAACCGGACTTCTAATTACTTTTTTTCATCGTTTTAGTTTCCATAATTTTTTTTTATCGTATGAAACGGTCCTCCAGTAATAACGAATGGTTCAATCCAGTAATCCCTGGAAAAATTTCCAGATGCAATTTTTGTACCCTAGTAGCCACAAAAAAAAGGAAAAGAAGAAAAAAAAGAAAATTCTTCACAAATTTTAACATAAATTTTTCCAACGTTGTAAAGCAGTGACATGACTCATTGCATTTCAAACGCCTTCCAATAGCAAGTTCAGGAAGAGAACTCTAAGCTCTGTTACCGAATTTTGCATCGAAATGAAAGACAGGGTAAATTTTCCAGAAAGAAAAGATCAGTGCTAGGTCTAGTGTCAAAGGAAATAAGTGTTGGAGAAAAGAGACAATGTTGGTGAATGGAATTATCATTACTAACGCCATTCAGAACGTTTATGATAAAATAAGTGTTTCTGTCGCGTTTTAAAAGAGCTTTACTTTGCATGTTTAATCATTTGTTTACTTATTTGTGCTTACATTGAAAACCAGAGTTTTAGAAAAAAATTTCCAGAAAAATAGCATTGTAAAAAAAAAATAGTGAATATAATGAAAACACGGAGTAAGAAGTATAGCGTTGCATAGGTCAACAGTAGGAAGCAGCTTACATACACTTAAGTGCACTAATTGACCTGATAAGCCCCTTACTTATTAACTAAAAATCTAAATCCTTTTTAAAGCTATTACCATTTCAGGAAGATCGGAACTTTGTTTACGACAATTTACCGCTTATATACGTTAATGGCTTTTATTTCGGGGTAAAAATTTTATATTCATTTTTCAGTTTTGTCTTTTCATTTTTTGTTAAATATTTTAATTAACTCCTTGTAAAGCATCATTATAACTTTCACAAAAAAAAGTTGCCTAACAAACATTTTATTTATTTCACCAACTGAATCATTAGATGGGCAACAAAAATATTTCCTTTTTGGTCGTGGTTAATTTTAAGGCATTTTTCAAAAAAAAAAAAAAAAATGATAGATTCAACAATATTTTCGTTAAGCGACTTTTTAAGAACTATAACATTTCACGCCCAAAGGTCTTAACCATTTATCTTAGTTGCTTTCAGTCTCCTACTGCTTCTTGCCCCAGTCTTGTTAAAAATAATGGAATCTCAGCCATTTTTTTTTCGGTCTTAATGGGGGATAGATACCGTCAAAGAGTTCATTCAAAGCCTACCCTTCTCTTGAACACAGCGCCAGAAATATTTGTAGAAATTTTAAAAAAGAAATGCAAATTTTAAAGGTGGAAGAAGGCACTAGTTTGCTCCACTGATTTCAAAGTTATCCTGATAGCCAAAAATGCTGAATACAACGCGAAAAAACCTGTTCGACTGACAGAACTTCCCTGGTCACTCCCTTCAAATTTCATTAACTATTTGCACAATAGAACAGAACTGGAAAGTCCAGAGAAATAGAAACTACACAAGCCGGAAAGCGACAAGTATAAATAAGCGTACAGGCCTTTTCTAGGTGTTTTTAATCCCTGATATAAATAAGAACTTTAAATGAAGATAGATTCTGTACAATCGAAAACCTGATTACCATAGTAAGCACGACTGAAAGAATTTACTGTCAGGCGTTAACATTCCGTTTACCAGCAAAAGTCACGGGAAGTGGCTGACATACTTAAATGAGCCAATTCATCGCTGCATCGCAGTAACGACGGTTCGTCTAGGATAGAATTTTGCTACGAGTTGACTGACTATGTAGAATAGAATTACACGGTTTTGTTCTAGTACTTATGAACCGAATATGGCCTTCCCCTCATTGATGCAATGCCAAGTCTCATTCACGTGACTGATTTTGAAAAATTTGAGTGTCGTATGACATCGGCTACAAAATTCTCCTCTGGCTTCCATAGAAGTCCGAAAATTACCACTTCCTTGAGGATCTCGATAGGTTTCCTCAAAAGGAAAACTGCAGAGACTAAAAAAATAAAACTGACTTTTCAAGAGTAACTACTACTTAGCGTCAAGTCTTCGCCAAATTCAGATGGAAATAAACTTCTGTTCTGTTGTTAGAAACACTTCAAGCCTAAAGACTCTTCCTTCAACTCGTAGGTCTCGTTCGGTGCCAAGTTGTCGTGAATCGGAGCTGTTTTACAAAGACTTAAAAATTTTAATTTAACTGTATGAAACTGCAAGTATCAAACAATAAATGCAATTTTTTTACGCTATTTTATTTAGAACGATACAACACTACACCACTTGAATGAAAAGGGACATTTAGCTTCAACACTGCAAAATTTTTACGTAAGTCGTTTTCTTTCGTCCAATTATTCCACAAATGTACTTGCACACAACAAAAACAACGACAAAAGGATAGGTAATCTCCAGTAAACAATTAAAGTTTTCTAAAATGTTAAGCAAAAGCGATCTAGGAATACTGCGGTTAGGAACTAAATTTTTGCATTGACCCAAAAAGCTGTTTGGTTTTGTCTGTAATATGACAAAATTGTTTATTTTCAAAACCAGATGTCAAAATAGTTTAAAATTTCTGACAAGAGCAAATGAGTGATGACTTCTAAAAAAAATTTCTTTTGTAAGACAATAATGTATATTTGAACTTGAAAACGTCCGAAGAGTCAGGCAAATCAGGCACAATCATGACTAAATCACATATATCGTACCTCGTTTCTTGACACGTTTCACCTTGCAGGGCAGAAGAAATTGCGAAACATGCGATGGTATCGGTTATACATTATGCCCAGATTGCCGTGGTAGTAAACGTTCCAAACATACCTTTCATGATCTGATTTTACGCTGCGCAAATTGCGATGAAAACGGTATCGTTCTTTGTAAGCAGTGCTTACAACATCCTCGATAAAATACCTCCACCATATTACATATTTTGCTGAGGATCTTATCCGTTCCTCCCAAAATCAGCAAAATCTAATCTGTTTTACATGTATAATATCTCTCACTGTCTTTGTTGCCTCAGTAATGGAACATTGAAAATAGCCCGCAAATTTTTTTACGAAAGCACTTAATTTGTACACTAATGTGCAGCTACAATACTTATGGAACCGTCGTTAACATAATTCCGCAAATGAGAAATACATTATGGACCCAACATCATCCTACCATAACACTCACCCATTAGCCCTAGATTTCATGATTTCTCAATATATCCAGTGAAATCTAGTCCAATTACCCACACTCATCCTCTCGTATACTGATGACTTGCGCACTTAACCACCGTCATGTGATTTTTGCAGTCAATTACCGATCTGATTCTAAGTACTGTCACTGACTAACATACTTTTGTCACAACAAATTTTCCTTGCAAACCACAGAAACCACCCCCGAACAAACCGCAACTTCTCAAGACGCAGCCCCCTCTATACTTAACTTCCTAACCTTCAAATTCTTCTCACCAAAACTGCTCCCTAGTACCGGAACTCCTCAGCTAGTGACCAAACTTCCTGCACACCAAAGGCTCTTAAGCAATCAAAATTTTGCAGTTCCGCAGCAAATCGCGACACACGACTACTCTGCAACCAATTTTTACCGACTCTTATATCATACGCCTGCTTTAACCAGATCCACTTTCTATCACCATCCCATCACCACTGCCACTAGTCAGTCAAACAAAAGCAACTCCACCACAATGAAACCCACTCTCAACTGAACCATTACTTCAGCCCCAACTGCTGAACCTGAGTTTTTTAAGCATAAAGGAGGTAAAAGAACACTCAAGAAAAACAACGAAGATGAAGTAAAGCGTAAAGTTTCTCAACAAACTCACTCATTAAAAGCTCTAAAAAACCCACCACTACAGCAACTAAAAAAAAAAAAAAACAATTCAGTGCAGCTCTTTATTAAAACGAAATAGCAAAAAATGCAACACAACTACGACATAAATCAAATCTTTTCAGGTGGCCTATCACAAAAATAAACATAGCTACTTGCCACGTTTCAAAAGTACAGTGATTAAAGAAACTTAATAAGCATGATTGGCAACGTAAAGGCTTTCAGCAGCCGCCTTGTCCGCATCACCACCAGTGTACTTGCCTTGGCAAGCAAGAGAATTTGCGAGAGCACGCTTAACAAAAGCTTCTCCAGCTGCCTTAATGTTCTCCGGCTTTCCAGCCCATGTGGACAATACAGATGCTTGAAGAGCTCGTCCGTAACTGAAGGTCAGAGCCCATGGTTTTTTGCCCTATAATGTAAAATTGAAAAAACTCTAGATTCTACAACACTTTTAAAAATAACTACAATCTGTATGGTAAACAACCAACGTACGACTACCTTACGATAAGCCAACTTGTTAAGAGACCGGAAGCAAGAAAAGTAAACTGTAAAAAAAACCTTAACTTACCGGGCAGGTATTGATTGCATTAAGATTGAGAGTAGCATCCAACTCAGACTGACCACCTGAGAGGAACACAACACCTGGTACAGCGGGCGGCACAGAGCGTTGCAAAGCGGTGACAGTAGCTAAAGCGATTTCTTCATGCGATGGCTTGTTACCTTTGTACTGCATGCCTAAAATTTTAAAAATTAATTTGAGAAAAGCACTGTAGCAGAAGCAGCTATGTTACTTCGGAAGCAATTATGTTATCCCTTGAAACACTACTTGATAAATCCTCCCTTCCAGCAATAAAAAATGGATATACAAATGTACCACAGCAATCCTCTACCTTATTTTCAACTTTTTTAAAGTTAGCTGCTAACTGAAAACACCTTAAACCTAAAAAACAGAAGTTACCTGCTGTACACATATTAGGCTTCAAAAGAGTGCCCTCCAAAAAGACATGATGATCGTTCAATGCTCTGTAGACGTAAGAAAGAACGACTTCAGTAACTTTCTGGCAACGTGCCAAGTCATGCTCACCATCGGGAAGGATCTCGGGCTCAACGATGGGTACCAATCCATGCTGCTGACAAATAGAGGCGTACCTGGCAAGGACCTAAAGATAACAAAGTGCCTTGAAAATCAAATAAGATAAAACACATTGTTAAAGACCTCGTACAGTAGGCTTAACAACGAACAGTTTCAAAATTGTTACCTCTGCGATTTCAACCATAGCCATATGGCTAGGTGTGGTGGGGCCAATTTTATGAACACAACGCCATTTGGCAAACTGCGCACCATCCTAGAAAAAGCAATGAGATAAGCAAAAAAAACCAAGAAGTAGTAAGCTTACTAGAAGCACAAAAAACAATGCAACAAACTTTTTTATACTGCGCGCAGCGAGCGTTCAAGTCATCCAATCCCTGAGTAGTCCCTTCCCCGACTGTTCCAGCCATAGGAACTACACCCTTATCAACCTGAAGTTTTCATTAAAAAAGTGCCAAAAAAATCTAAGCAACCTTTCAATTACTAACGAACTGTTGCGAAACAAAGAGCCTAAAGAATTAATTAAACAGTTATTGACCTTGATGCCAGGAATAATGCCTCGGCTCTTCAATACATCCACAAATCGCGTGCCATCGGCCGTCTTTTGATAAAAGGTTTCATGAAACATGATCACTCCAGAAATGTATTTTGCACATTCCTCAGGAGCAGTAAATAGAATCTAAAAGAAGGAGTTGAAGGAATCATACTGAATCACATCAAGATCACTTTGGCGACTGAAAATACCAGCAATAACACTGAAATTTTTGGAATCCATTACTTCTCTGTACTGTCTTCGATTTTCCTCGATATTCTCAAGACCGATAGGTAGGAGTTTTTTGTCCATGCTGCCTGAAAACTTCTATTCACTCATAAACGACAAAACTTACGTGTCATGAACCTGTGACTTACTCACGAAGCTTGCAACTTGTGAAAAGAAGAATTTCAAAAGTAATCAGAACCAAACTCACCAATGCTTTCGTCTGCAGCCAATATACCCTTCCCTGGGGTGACAATGGCATTTGCGATTTGCCGCAACTCATCCTCTTGCTCCTTTGTCAAATAAGGCCCATATGAAGCCATTTTTACCTTCAAAGTTTAAGTGAATTATATGATATCTTTTGTACAATAGTCAGTATTTTCGTCCACCCATCACAACCATATTGAACGAGTGTTATCAACATCGAACATTTCAATGAATTTATAAAGAGGCCAAATAGTTTTTCACAAGATCAAAAAGGCTACAATAAGAAACTTTAACTCGTCTTTCAAATACCAAATCATAATACACTGCAGTCAAAAGGTGGAAGCAAAATTTCCGCAAAAACAGCATTAAAAAAAAAAAAATTAAAATTGAAAAATGCAAATGTTTCCTCAGTTTCACAATTTCTTCTTCCATCTATACAGGTTAACAAAGACGAGAATATTATCTCAGCACACTATTACTTAAAGTTGTGACCGTGATAAAGCAGAAGAAAAAAAGCCATTGGAGGTAATAACAGCACAAATATTTATGAAAATCAAAGGCAATAAAGTAATCAAACGATGCTTAAAAAACGAATAATAGGCGTCCTTTTACACTCATTCTGTTAAAAGTAGTTCAACAGCAGCATTAAGAAAGTAATAAAGTGCGTAAGCAACCTAAAATAACCTGTAAATGTGAACGTTTTGTCTAAACGACCAAAGTCAATTAAATTACCTGTCAGATAACTATTAACATACAAAATAGGTTTATATTACGCGAAAATTTTGAAGCACAGATGTAAAACAGCAGCTCCTTTTTCAGTCATACGACGCATGGTAACTGTCCAATAAGAGAGAATCAAAATTAACTTTTCTTGAGTACACTTAATTATAACAAAAGTGACCGAAAAAAGTGTAAAAATAAGCACTGAACTGATGCCATTAATTTAAAAAAGTGAATTATGTTACGAAAAAACAGAAACAAAAACTTACTGCAGTAAGTGAATAATTTAGATAAAGCAGCGTAAACCTCCAAGCATCAACAAATGTGTCGAAAACCGCTCGACAAAGGAATTTTACTACAATAATTCAAAGATTATGTAACTTTAGACCGAATCAAAACAAAAGAAGTCGGTTTCCACGTGTAAACAAGTTTGTTGAGATGCCCGAAATCCAAGGCTTCGAGTTTTTTTGCGGAAGTCGCAATCAATAAAGAACGGTAAAAAAAACCTATCGCACTACGGAAATTAGTAAGAGAAGTAAACAAAGCACTTACAGAAGTCCAGGAGCGGCTGAACAGAAACTTCAGCTGGCATTTAAACGACAACCTAAACAAATAGTAATCTCATTCACTTCAAAGACTTCTACCGTTAAAACAAAGGATTTTGAAAATCACAGTATTAAATAGCTCTACAATCATTGAGCGAGGTCCAACTTGGTGGAATATAATATACAGACACTTTTCTGAATAGAGTGCTATTTAATAAGAGGCCGTAAAATATTTATTCACGAATGGAAGAAAAAAATCTTCAGGCCGTCCAACTATGACTGCATAATTAGAGGTTGCCGTAAATATAAATGAAGATGCTTCATATTACTCAGTGAATTAAAATGTCTGAAGAAAGAATTGAATCATATTCTTCATTCAGGTTCTACTTAACCTGCTGGAGTCCCCAAATTCATAAGTTCTTTCTATACTTAAACCACGGATGACAGAGAAAAGTAGAGGTAAAAGAACAAAGCACAAATTCAACAATCAAAGAATAAAAGTGGAAAGATCGAAAAACCAATATCTAAGTTTGAAAAAAGCTCAATAACCAAGAATAGAGCAGAATCGTAAAAAAAAACCCCCATGAAAAAACTACGCAACACCGGAGGGAAATGACGAAACACATTAATATCTTTACACTGACAACTAAGCAAAAACTAGGAGAACGTCTTCGGTATTTCAAGACAATTGAGATAAAATTCAAGGGTCACAAATGGTGCAAATGCTGCTTCAGATGAGGCAAGAAAGTTATGCCACAAAACAACTGCAAAAGTGCTGAAAAAAAAAAAGAGGAGAACATGAGTGTAACAAAGTGAGGAAGGTAGGAAAACCGTCATGTTTTTTGCCAGCATTACACGACTAGAAAACCATATACATACAGCAGACATTTCAGACATCACTAGTTGCCTCACGGTAGGAGGGCGGAAAAAAAAAGAATGCAAAGAAGTTGAAGTGGAAAACAAAGTACAAATGAAAGCAGTTAGAAATGACAATGTTGACTGCGAATAAGACAGACGAATAAATTTCGAAAAGAGAAACGGAATCTTGCATGCGACTGAAGTCTAAAAAGATGAAAAATTTTACTATAAGTATTATTCTGCGCCAAACGCAGAATATGATGCAAAAACACACAAACAAATTAAGAAGACATGCCGAGAAATACTTTCACATAAATCCCAACGTTCTTTAGTGGCACCACACAAAAATAGTGTCACGATTAGGTACAGCCAAAACTTTTTACCGCACAGCTTCCAACTATTCCGTCTAATCTGATTGATTTAGTCAGATTCTAGGTGGTTACCTAGACCTCAATCACTCCATATGAAAAATATTTCGGATTTGACATCAGGAAAGAGTAACGGGAACCAGTACTCTTAAAAATCGAAATTTACAGGCAGAGAAAACGCTCATCTTGTGGGTGGCTGCAGTGGCGTCGGACTAATGGCTGGGAAGGCAAGCGGCGCGTCTCACTCTCTCAGGCTCTCGAGGTTGCCTACATCGGACTAGTGCAATGCCCAATAGTTTTAGTTGGTTCACTGACGGCCACTCCCTCCCTCTTCCTAATGACACACGTACGCTCTCGTCCGTTCAAAAAGAACCTATCTGCCTTCAATACTTGTTGCCCCTCCTGAGTACATCATTAAGTAACTTTTGGAAGCTTCTGGAAAACACTGAAGAAACTGCATTGTACTATGCAGTTATTTTAAAACAATGTTGTGAAAGTTGAGCAGCTATGGTTGGTGTTTAAAAACTGGCAGACAGCGGAACATCTGTAAGTCTTTCAAGAGTCAATAAGAACTTTTTCTTTCGGAAGCACATGAAAAGACGACTAACCGCTCAATTTCCCCCCCACCCATGCTACTGCGATAAAATTGTGGCTCAGTCCTTGAAAATAAAAAAAATTGAAAAAAAAACTGAGACTCGAACCAGTTATATTTCACAATCTCTTTATCAAAACAACTCTTCAATTTTCTTGTCGTGAACTCTGAATTTCTCTGAAGCTAAATTTCTTTGCCTCTCGCAGCCTCTCGCCTTTCTTATTCCTCTATTCCAATAATCTATTCTGACGAGCATTTTTGTTGCTCATTAAACTGTTGTATTCCAATTGCACAGCGCGCCTGGAAAATATCACCTACCAATCCTCAACAAAACAAATTTAAGCTCAATTCCTAAGAGAAAACAAAAAGTTACAGCCGTCGGTTAGATTTGTGTAAAAAGCCCAGGAAAAATGATGAACGATTGCAGGTCAACGAGTGAGAGGCATTGTTACTATCAAGAATCAAAAACAATTGCTGAAATGAAGGGGAAGTGATTTTTGAAAGACAAATTCAGCAGTTAATGCTTAAAGTCAAGGTGCCTGAAAAAAGACTTATTAACAGAAACCAATTGCCTTACAGAAAGTGAAAACGTAGTCAAGATCCCAGCTCTTTAGTTCACTTTTTTTTTTTTTTTTTCCGATTAATGCCTCAGCCGGATAACTGGCAAATAAGAAACTGCTTGCTTGTTGCTGTAAAAGTGGCGACTAATGATGATGTTTGGCTGCTAAAAAAATGCCACAATTTTTTCGGCGCAAACAGTCTAGTTTATTTTTTCAGTTTTTTTGTCACAAGAATGTGGTAAAATAATGTCTTCTAGGTGAAAAAAAATTGTATTTAGACACTTATCCGAACAGTAAGCAAAACAGCTGTTTCATACCCTGAGAGTTTCGTAACACACGAAGAAGAAACTACCTCATCTCTGTTACCCCCAGCGTCATATGGTGGAAATTTGATCGTCTCTCAGATGTTGCGTACTCTGTCAACTACCAATCCAAAGTGCTGCTCTGCCAACAAATCAAATCTAAAGGACAGGTTTTCGACCTTCAATAATTCGGCAGCGCGAAACTGTAAGCGCTGGAAGAAAGAAGATAAAAAATAGTTCAAGTTACCCTACCTTTCTGCTTTTCACAAAAGGCAAAAATATATTAATTAATATAAACCACTAAAAGCCAAAGCTGCTGATCCTCTTCAAAATTCCTAAAGTCCCAAAAAAAA